TGAGATTTTTTTTCAGTAGACCAGTTGTAATTCCCTGCCCCCAAGTGTTACAGTCAATGAAATTCTCCTCCCAGGTTTTTTTTCAGTGTCCTCCATGGCAAATGAACACATTTCTGTGTCTTGAGTGTCTTTCTGAATATCTTGTACCATATGGTGTGATACCAGTTAGGTGTTTAAGACACTTTTAAAGCAGATGACACCACCTGGTCTTCTCAAATTGGCAGTTTGTATCACCAGCAATCTGTTCTGAGTTCCTTCCAGAGGAGCCTGTCCTCTTCCACTGGTCTCTTAAATCAGTAACTTGTAGTAGGTGGTTTGAATAGTTCCATCATCTGAACATTTTCATTGCAGTGGGAATTTGAGGTGCTTAGAAATGAAAAAAGCTTTTCCATTTGCCTCTGTTTCTGTTCAAGCTACCTGTGCCTCATGGAGTTGCCAAGGAAGATTGTCTTCCTAGGAATGCTGGAGATGTGTCCTGTAAGGTAAGGTGCTTTTTTCTGTTGATAAATATTTAACGAGCAAGGCTCCTCTTGCATTAAAATATCAAGTGCTTTAGTCCTTAAAGGTTACACTGAGAAATGTAATAGTGACTTATTAAATCCTTGTGTTTCTTTAATCAAAAAAGAAAACAACTGCCAAAACAAAACCCAATAATGGTGATTTGCCTTATAGCACAGGGACATTCTGCTTATGGAGCAGAGCAACAGTAATTACTTGAAGTGCCAGAAGGGAGAGGAGACTGGTAACGTTCCCGGTCTCAGAGGAAAATAATCACTCCCTTGGCTGAGTATCTGAGAAGTGAGCAAAAGATAAGCATGTAGTTTTATGAAGTGCTGTACCTGATATATCAGTGAATTGGCTTTGACATACAGACTTGAACATGTTTTGCTCTCTCTGCTTCTACAGATCCTAACCTGGTTTTAGGGCACGACTGTAGTAATATTAAATAGCTAGTGTAAATTACAGCTACGAGCAGCCTTTTTGATCATTATCAGAAACCTACATGGCTGAAATAGATTTCTATGCAATCTGTTGTGCTCTGTTGTAATTCATATTACTCTGGCCTTATCTTTGTCCATGCTGAGCTTTGTATACAATTAATTACTTTGAATGTAATTCACACAGCATGATTGTCATCAGTGTGCCCTAAAAGTTCCTACTGGGTGGCGTAGAGAAGGTGGCTCAGCATTTTGAATATAACTACTCTTTATAATGACCCCACAACAAAATCGTCAGCTCCCCTCAGTGTTACCTTCGTGTAAGCAGAGGCATAGTGGTTTCCTTGCCCTCTGAAATGCTTGGTAGTCAGCAGATGTGCTGCTTCTGCTGAGTGTGCTGAGCAGTTGGGTTGAGTGTTCACTCCAGCAAGAAAGAGTAGCAGGTGGCACACAGTACCAAGTGCCAGTGCAAAATTTGGCCATAACCCTTGCAATGAGTGCTGCTATCAATGCTCCAGATTTCTGACCCACAGAGATAGCTGAGGCCTGGTGTGTATCAGGAAATGTTACATGCCTTTCCTGCCTTTTACTGTCACAAAAGTAGATTTTGATGCAATGTATTCTGGTTTACACTGACAAAATGCATACAGAATTTGGACCCATAGCTGTGTGACCAAGAACCATTGCCTTTAAATGTCATGTTGTGTCATCGGTTTCTCCGATACCAGAACAACATTGTGTCCAAAGTCAGGAAGTTACCTTTGGAGTATGTAACAAAGAACCTCTGACAGTATCTTCTGTGATTTATAACCTACTTGGATTTATTTGTTGTTGTCAGGATTCAAACCACCCTCCAAAAGTTTCTGAGCCAAGTGCACCTCATGCTGTAGTCCTGCATGATTTTCCTGCAGGTAAGTAAATGTGAATATTCTGAAAGCTTATTTTACTCCAAGACTTTCAAATGGGAGTTTTCTTAGGAATTAGAGCTTAAAAATGGTGTGAAAGCTCAGTCTGCAAGGTCTGCATGTAGAGTTGTTTAAATCAATGGGTTTAACTGCAGGTGGGCCAGTCTTTCAGTTAAAGCTAACTCATTTATCAAGTATAATTAAGACTCTTTGAAAACTCATTCTGGTTTTGTCTGTGGTATTTATATTAAGAAGGTTTTACTTAGAGAAAATCATGAGTGTGGTAAGTACTGTTGACTGAAATGATGTTGTCTTACAGAGCATGCTGATGACTTGGACCTTCATTCTGGAGACATCGTTTGTCTTTTGGAGAAAATCGATGCCGAGTGGTACCGAGGAAAATGTGGGAATCGCACAGGGATATTTCCTGCCAGCTTTGTTAAAGTAGTTGTATGTGGCCTTTGTATACACTGCTACATAAGATCCTGTTGCATTTGTGTTCTGGTTCTATTTTTCTAAGGCTCCTGTGTGTCTAACTCCATTCTGTATTTAGATAATCTCTTATCCCACGGGCAGCATGGAAGACCTATCAACTTGTTTGCATGGTATTAGAAAGATGCTTGATTTGGCACGACCAGCTTGTGTTATGGGGAATATTTTGCTGTTGATTCAAAGCCAGATGAGAAAATCATTGCCCTTACCAGATTCTCTTTGTTAATGCAAGTAGTTTCTCAGGGTCTACAGAACAGATTATCATCTGCATGTAAGAATCAACACTTGGTAAGATGGTTCCTTTTTGTGCCTCCCCCTAACCCTTCAGCTTCTCTCATTTTCTTTTCTCTTGAGCTGTGCTGGAATCACCACTGTTATAGCCATGTAGTGAACTAGGTCAGGGCAGCACTTTGGCCCAACAAAATGTGTTTTTTTCTTCCTAGAATATTGTTTTTTCCAACAGGATCAATTTGCCTAAGTGGCTTACTAAGTGGCTGCACAAATGGTTGTGCTGGCACTGTGCGGGGAGATTGTGTTGTTGCAAATGAGCAGCTTAAAGCAATCCTGTTACTGAATGTGACACTTGACAGTAAATGGCAGGCAAGAGGCAGGTGCTGTTTTGGAGCCCAGTACCAATTGAGAGCCTCATCTTTAAAAAAGATACAAAATGGTTCACTCTGTCAAATGCTGGGTCAAATCTATTGCAGTCCTCAGTCTGAGATTGAAGTCCATTTCATGCCAGTAGAAAGGGTGTTGGGCTATCTGCACCAGCCCTGTGGGCAAAGAGGAATACCAAACTGACACCAGGATGCAGTGAAGGTGTATGGCTTGGCATTAGAGGCAGTAAGTGTCTGTGTCCAGCTGGGACAGCACTGCTGTTGTGTGAGCCATACCAAGTATTTGTTAAACATAAAATCATAGAATCAACCAGGTTGGAAGAGAGCTCAAAGATCATGGAGTCCAACCCCACCGCGGTTACTAGACCATGGCACTAAGTACCACATCCAGTCTCCTCTTGAAAACCTCCAGGGATGGTGAATCCACCACCTCCCTGGGCAGCACATTCCAATGCCTGACTTCTCTCTCTGTAAAAAATCTCTTCCTAATATCCAACCTAAACCTCCCCTGGCAGAGCATGTAGGGTGTCTGTTTAGTTTGTGATAGTGTTACTGGAGAAAAATTCTAAGATGTGGGAAGTGCTGAAAAATTAAACTCCCAGTTAGTAGTAGTAGAACCATGCTCAATTCACTTTCACAAGAAAGATTTGTTAGCTAATTGATTAGCTTCCTCAATGCAGATCAACAATTTAATTTAAAAGCTCTTGCTGCTACTGATGGCTAATGGAGCAAATATTTTATGTTAAAGCAGTGGAATGAGTATTTGGGGTCAAATTCAGCCTTGATGCAGACAGATACAACTTCATAAAAGCTAGGGAAGATGCATTTCAAATTTCTGTTGTGGTCATAAAAGGTGGTTACCCTTAGTGGGCAAAAGTCTTTTTGTTTCAGAAATTATTTTTTAAAGGAAAAAGTGCAGTACATGAGGCTAATTTACTTGAGTGAATTCTCCTGTTAATTCATGTCAGATGTGATCTTGATACATGGTCCTTATGCAATATGCTACAATGTGTTTTACAATATTGAGCTGGGTAATAGTTTAGGTTTGGACACCTAACAATAATACACAGTTATTTCTTCCCATAGAACCTCCAGAACACCACAGATACCTGCTCCTCTAGCAAGAGCACTGCGATGATTATTGTCCTAAAAGGCAGTGTGATTTCCTCCAGTCCTTCACATAAGCTAATGAAACATTCTTGTTGTTTTTATGGAAACTGGCTCATGCCATAGTTGAGCTGTAACCCAGAGCTCTCCATCAGGGTCTCTAGGCTTGTAGTCTTATACATCTCACAGATCATCCTTCATGTCACACCAAAATACAATTGAATTCCTCTTATGATAAAGGACTCGAATGCTGTACGTTTGATATATATGTGTATTGATTTTCTAAGTTGTATCTCTCCAGTTCATGGAGATTTGTGAGATGTACTTTTGTTTGGAGGGCAGCTGGCTACCAAAGCACAGAAAGGATAAGTGTAAGCAATAATTTTGTCTATTGTGATATATTGTGCTCGTAGATAATAGAAAGCAATTACCAGTTGAAAGTTGGGAACTGAATGCAGCAACATGTAGTAGCATCCAGTCACATATTCTGTCAATCAGTCATGCCACAAGTAGCAACAATAAACCAGCTTCATAAAAGAAAACATTAAATAGTGCTCCTTGTTTGCATAAGATTGAAAAATGAGAAACCAGGCAGAAAAAAACCAAAATTTACATTAATATGGTCATATATCAGAGCCAGCGACTACAGAGTGTCACACATCTGAAAAATAGGTTATTTTAACCAGTTTCAAGTTTATTGTGGTTATATTGCCATGAGCTTGAAACGGAAGATTTTGCTTATTTTGTTGTCTTACTAGATTGATGTTCCAGAAGAAGCCAACAGGAAAAAAATACCCTCTTCAACTCGGTGTATGAAGTGAGTCAGATAAATCTTATTTTCTTTCTCGTGTTGATGTACTAGGAAGTAAAAAGACAACTTAGAAGTAGGTGCTCTCTGAGCTGAGGTTAACAACTTGTTCACCAAAATATATTTTAAAAATTAAAATATATTTTGTTGAAAACTGAATGTTTATGATGTTTTAATAAGACTCATTTTTAGGTAGTAAAAAGCCCAAACCCTCACTTTCATGAAAATTGGCTGCAGAAGCCATAAACCAATCTGATTCACTTCAGCAGCATTGTACACTCCTCTCTTTGCTCCTGACCTTGCTACTTTCTTCCAGTAACCTCATAAGATGAACATGGTAGAGCTTCTGCTCATTTGGAAGAACAAGATAAACTGGGACTGAATACAGCTGTACTGTACATGCAGGAGTCTGTCTGTCCTCAAAGCATGTGGCTGTATGGGTGAATCTAAAGTTCCCCAGATCATATTATCAAATGTATTTCCAGCACTTTCATTTCTGATTTTCAAACAACTTGTATCTGTAGGAAAGAAAGATTTTTTCATGGTATTTTTTCTCAGTGATGATTGATTTGATTTCATAATCATTCATTTCAGCTATTAAAGCAAATTCAGGTATCAGTGGGATCATTCAGTTTGTTCTTTAGATGAAGCTTGGTTTGTCATACACAAAACTTTATTTTTAAAAGCTACTTCTGCAACTAATAAGGAAACAGAAAGTGCTAGCTCTACCCTGTCCTGAAGCATTTGCAAAGATCCGAGTGGGGAACAGAATGGGAATCAAACCTCTTACATTGTTTGGATTCTAGGATGCTATAAAAAGAATTAAAGCCTTTTATTGCTTTTTACCAGCATGGTATTTCTGATAAGTCAAAAGTTTTCTCAGAGCAATTTCTTATATTTAATTTGTTAGTTAAATTATTAAATCTATTTAGGTCAGTGGAAAAAATAATTAGGGGTTAGGTTTTCTCAGTATTGCACCAAAGTATGTACAATTTATCAGATGCATTGATGTTTCTCTCTTGACAGATAAGTTATTTCCTCTATATATCCTATGGGGATAGATTTTACAGAATAAAGTATGGCAAAGTATACAAAAACTATCTTCTTCCTATGAAACCTCCATTTGGGACAAATATACAACACCCACCCCCACCCATGTTTGATTGCACCTAAATTGGATGCTAGCTCGAAAAACAATCAAACTCTTAACAAAAATGTATCAGGACACTTCCTTGGATATAGACAAAGATATGAAATGGCCCAGAAACCAGGTTTTTTTATTGTTGTTAGGAAGAGAAATAGTGTCTTCTGCAAAATATTCTAACTGTCCCAGGAACTGGGATGCAGGAATTGCATCTGGCTGTTCCAGACTCCATACTCATGGAGTCTCCTCAGAAAGCAGAGACAAAAAACAGGGCTAGAGCCCAATTTTCCACCTGTTCTGTCTTCAGTGTTGCCCAGTGCTGCCTTATCATTAAGTGGACAATAATAATAAAGCAGCAAAGTAATTTTCTCTTTTGTTTGTGCAGAGGCCCAAGATGTGTAGCACGATTTGAATACATTGGAGATCAGAAAGATGAGCTCAGTTTTTCAGAAGGTGAAACTATTATCCTGAAAGAATATGTAAATGAAGAGTGGGCCAAAGGAGAGCTCAGAGGCACGTCTGGAATTTTCCCCTTGAATTTTGTGGAAGTAATTGAAGATCTGCCCGGAACAGGTATGAATATGTTTGCAAAAATCTTCCAGAACATGGTTTTGTACTTCATGCATATAGACAGCATATAGGAGAAAATTCCAAAAAGACAGTGTATGCAGGAAGGAGGTAGAAAGAGAGAGAAGACAGCTCTTCACAAAAATCAAAAGCAATAGTAAGACTTCCTAAGAAGCTGTTCTTAATAATCACTTTGAATATCTAAAATCTCTATCATTAGTAACCCTTTGAATAGTCACTGCTGCTATTCTAAGTTGTGCTTTACTTATGTAGGTACAGAAGCAGCACTGAAGAACAAGGTGGAGGTTTCTTCTTCCCTTCCTCAGGTAATAAAATTTGATAGCTGAGGGCCAGAATTTACATAGCAGTTTGATGGATTTACATAGACTCTGTATTATACTGTCAGATTAGCTGCAGAACTTTAAGCCTGAATGTGACACAACTCCCACAGCACACAATGCTGCATGGTCACATCTCCAAGTCTGACAGTTGGCCTAAACTGATTGAATTCATAGCTTCTGACAAATTAACATAAGTAAATTTTTATCCTTTGTGCTTAAGGAAAATCTTGTTAGCTCTATCTTAAGTATTGCTGCAGTGATCTAATTGTGAACTTATCAGTCCTATCCCCTGCCACCAGTGCTAAAAAGGAATGTGCCTGAGCCTAGATGAAATTCTGTGGTAATTGCTGAAATGCCATTCTAGTCTGCATCTGCAGCAACACTATTGTGTGGGAAAAGTCAGGACACCCATGTTCTGTACAGCTGCTTTCAGCAGCATCCATCAGCCTTTGGGCTCCATTCATGCTTCTGAAATTAATGCCTTTCTTCTGTTCACTTGACTAGAACAACAGGCGCTCGGTAGAGTGGTGTGAGGCGCTCCATGATTTTACAGCAGAAACCAAAGATGATTTGTCCTTCAGAAAGGGAGACTACATCCAAATCCTGGAACAAGTAGATTTGGAGTGGTATAGAGGAAGACTGAATGGAAAGGAAGGGATTTTCCCAGCAGTTTTTGTTCAGACCTGCTCAGGTACAGTGCTCCTACTAGATGGCAAGTCATTATTCCTTGGGTTGTGACAATTGTGACAGAGTTCTGGGAGAACACAACTATTCCATTGAGTTAACAAGCCATACACCACCACAGTCTTTAATATTCTAAAGCAAAACCAAGTTTTGTGCACCCTCACTCATAATGACAATATAATGTTTTAGTTGTAAGTAAGCTGGGAGGTGACACAGACTGGGATGTTTTAAAGTGTGGTTTGGAATAAATCAGGGGTAGTGATGCTGCTTCATCTTCAAGCACAAAGAGGAAAAGACAGCTTTTATTAGATATCACCTTGGAAAGTTCAAGTGAGTGAACTTTACATTTAGTCCTCTTAGGAGCAGAACTGTGAGACTGTTAGTATGGCAAAATGAACTGGTGTCAGTGGAGTTTTTTATTCCATTAGTCCTGTGAATTTGTAGCAGCAGTGGCAATAACATCTGGACATGCTGCAGCACAGAAATGAGGAGAAAACATGAGAATGACAGGAAACCTCTCCAGAAACAGAGATTTATTTCACTCCAAGTAATTTCTCTCGTCCATGTTCTGCAGCCAGGGTAGAGCTGTCACAGTCTGTAGGAGGGAAGAAGAGAAAAGCCAAAGCTCTTTATGATTTTCATGGAGAAAATGAAGATGAGCTTTCCTTCAAAGTAAGTACCTCTCAAACTAATTTCCAAGAGGTCTTATGCTCCTAATGAGTGCTAAAAATAAGTTTTATCCACTATGAAAATAGGCTTCAAACAAGAAGAATGAAGCGTGTAGAATATGCATAGATATTAACACATTTGATAAATGGTTTCTCTAAAAAACCCTGACTACTCATGTTTCATACTGGCAAAATCTTCATTAAAGAGGTCAGGAGTTACAGAATTCCTCTGACTTCTCTGATCTAGTAAACATGGCAAGACAAACAAACCTCATTTGCAGTACATTCAGTTCTTGAGCAGTTGATGTGGTCAAGGGAGCCTCTTTCTTGACTAGAAAGACAGCAATGAGAAGGATAATAGCAAGAGTGCCAGGGCTGCAGCAGCCACCTAGTACAACAAAATCATAAACTGCCAACACAATACATCGTTGCCATGGGAGCAAGGGGAAAAATTAAATACCTGCTGGATGTCCAAATCATATTAAGCATGACCAAGAAACAGAGTGCCCTTGAAATTCAAAGTCATGATTTAAGCAACTATGTTCCCAGAAGCAAATTTCTGAGAAACATCAGACTTTCACAGTGTGTGTTTATCAGCTGAAACACACAGTATTTTCTCTTCAAAAACTAGCAAAACAGTTTCAGCATTAACAGCTTGCAAGCTGAAAAGATAGATGATTCTTTAAAGCATAAAAAGAGAACAGAGATAGCAGAAGAAAGGTCAGGGCCATAACAGTGCTTCAGTTGAAGGGTGTGGCACAGGACTATGAAAGCAGGAACAAGGACCAGAGGAGCCACAGTTTGAATGGCCACACTGAGCTCTTACATTATTGCTTTTCCTTTTTGAGAAAGGAAAGTTTTCAAAGAAAGAGAAAGTTTCCAAGTACTGGAAAATATTTGGACTACATTAAATAAGAAAAAAAATTATCTTTCCAGTGTTTTAAGAAAGAAACCATTGGAACAGCGCAGGGGAACACACACAAATAACTAGTAAAGCAGGGGCATGTGGGCCAGCTCTGAATGTACTTCCCTTCTTGGAGAGCTTAAGCAACACAAGAAAGTTATCCAGTAGTGCTATTTTGTCCTTCCAGAGGTGGTGATTTTTCAGCATAGACAAGTATCTGCCCTAAGAGAAGCTTCAGCAAATAATCTCAGAGAGATGTAACCAACAGGAGAGACTGGCCACATCCCATTTCGTGTCGATTTGATTGATATTAATTGCTTCTAACCAAGCTGAGCTATGCATGCATTAACATTGCACAGTAAGCTGTACTGACTCACATTACTCCTTCTCTTACAGGCAGGTGATATGATAACAGAGCTGGAATCTGTAGATGAGGACTGGATGAGTGGAGAGATACAAGGAAAGTCTGGGATATTTCCCAAGAACTTCGTTCAGATTTTAAAAGCACCATGAAGTGTTGTCTCTCTCTGCACTCCCTTCACATGGGAGAGAAAGTTTTCTATCCTAAAGGCACAGCAAAGACATCAATGTGTTTTGACTATCAATGTTTTGCACTACTTTTCCTAGACAGTCATACTAGTATCTTCAAGTCAAATAAGAACGTTTTAGTCTTTTGTGACAGTGTATGTAGTCATGTTTCATGAATGCTCTGAGAGCAAAACAAGCAGGATTTTTAGTGGTTTCCAGCTAGGGAAATACTGTGGTGCAACACCATTTTAACCTACACAGCATTCTAGTATGTTTACTATCTGGTATTACATTTATCATGCACAAAGTCTGCATAAAGTAAGCTGCTTTGGGCTTCTTTAAAAACTTTTTTAAATCCAAATTTAAAAGATTGTTTTAATATATACGTACAGCACTCAGTATGTAGATGATGTTTGATATTCGGGTTTCATTACTGCTTGAGTTCCACATTAGCAGTAGAATCCACTTGTTTTATGACTTAGAGGATAAGAAAAATAACTGGTATTTCATAGTAGAAGGATATCAAATCTAATACTGGTAAGAGGGAAAACTCAGAAACAAATCCTTGTGTAGTAGTCTTCTATTCTTATCCCAAGCTGCTCATACAGCAAGATGACAAAAGTAAAATTTATAAGTATTTTGCCTTTTAACAAATACTGTTTAAATTTGTATGAATCATCTTAGAGCTTCCTCCCTTTCTCCAAAATATTTTCCAAGTACAGGTTCAGATTTTTATACTGCTCACTGTTCTTTGAGCACCATCATACCCTTCTTTCCCAGCTGAAGTTAGTTGTGACAGACAGCGTTTACTGAGCTTTCTCAGATCCCATCCATGGAGTAGCTGCACTATTCCAACTATTTGCCCCTCCACTCCCTTCATGTAAGTGGAAAGCCAGTCTTCATTCAGTCTGCATTTCATTTGTCACTCAAGCACTGGAACATACTTCAGTAACCCTATTCCTGTCCTTAACATGAAGGATATTATACAGCCTGGGTATTAGCTTTCAGCAGACGTGGGATTAGTTTCCAGTTTGTCACCACATACCAGCTATAGTGAGCATCATTAGAAATGGTCTGTCGAGGCCTGGCAAGAGGGTACAAGCAGCAACAAACAGGATACTTGGTAAAAAGCAGCAGTGTGGCTTGAACAACAAACTAAGGCAGGCATGACTGAGGTAGCTTCGCATTATAGAACTTCTGGTAGCAAATTCCTTTTTGTAACACTTGGCTTCTGACAAAATTGTTAAATGACATCCTGATTAACTGCTAACTCCCTCAGACTGGCATAGAAAAAAATGATGCTGCAGTTGGCATTTCATTCCAGACAGTATTCCATCACTTCTGCACTATATAACAAAAAGGAACCAGTAAGCTGTTCACATCACTGCTCCAGAGAGCTGCAGGTCACTAGGTATGAACATAGCCTCAGCAAGACTTTTCTTCATGGATCTGGCAGCTCAGATTGCAAAAGGGCCAACAGTCGAGTGGTGGATAGACTGGAAACTAGAATCATACTGATTGACCCTGAGGTAGTTTTGACTCAGTCATGTGCCTACCAACAATTTCAGCAGTATGAGCTGCAAGTATCACGGCAGTGAGTACACACTGCTGCTAGAGATGGGGCTGCAGCTCCACTGGTGTCTCAGCAGGCTGGGGAGGGTGGCCCTCCTCTCCCCAGGCACTGCACTCTGGTTACTGTCACAGCAGGCAGAAACAGGCTCACAGCCAGAGCCCAGCTGAGGGGTTCCCCCAGCAGGGAATGGGCATCCAGCCTGGGTAGCAGCCTAGAGCTCACCTGGAGGGAGCCTGAGCAGCACGCAGGGCAGGCGTGGGGTCCTCAGCACCATTTCACTCAGCAGAATCACTGTTAGGCCACAGAACGTGCAAACACAGGCGTTACCCCTGGGTGATTTTCTCTTGTGTATTTAAACTGTAGCAATACCATTCACACATCTGGGGGTGAAGATTGCACAAAGTTTTAATGAGAACTGGATTTCTACTTCCATTAAGGGTATTAGCATGATAAAAACAGTTTTAAATTATGTGCCATTCTAGAAGGATGGAAATGCAACAATTTGTACAGCTATTATTCAGCTTTAGCATCCCCAACAAGCCTATCTGGAACTCCTGTGGAATCAAACTTTAACCTAAACCCACTGCCAAAAACGACCCTTTCCCCTCTCCAAGCTTTCCTGCCAGGAGATTCTAAAGGTTCTTGTTGTTTATTCTAATAAAACAGCTGTCTCCTAGAGAAATCGAGGAATGCCTGGGTTCTCCAAAGACACACCACATCAGTGTGGCAGTAGGTGAGGCTTAAGTGTACAATGTTTACTTATTGTTTGGCAGTTTTCTAAGATTTTGATACAAGTCTCAAAAGTAGAGCCGATTTTTTTACATTTTTTTCAATTTCCTCTTTCCCATTTTTATAACTTTGTTGACCAGTTGTTTTTGTAGCTTCACTGAATGTTTAAAGTCAGTGCCTGTCCGCAGACAAGACCACTCTGCTGTATGTTAACCCTCTCCTCCCTGTGGGGCAGGGCAGGAAGAGCAGCAAGGCCTTCTCTTCAGAGCACCGAGTGCCATCTAAGGGCTGCTCGCATTGCTGCAGGCAGCTCCAACAGCCTCCTTAGGAACACCGAAGCAAGTGAGACGCTTGGCTTTTACAGGAGGGGATTTTCTCCAGACAATGCCTAATATCACCATGGAAGTGCATACAGATCATAGCGTAAAGTTCCTAAGGTGTAGAGTACATAATTGCAAAAAACCAAGAATGGAGTACAAATCTTACCTGCAATATAGTAGCAAATTCCAGCTGTAACCTTGAAATTCAGCTAGATCCCCCCCACATTAGTATAGTAATAAAAGCCTCGTATATCAAAATAATTTCTTTGACCCACCCTCTGGAAATATCTTCAGGAAGACGTCTTTGTTCGGTGTATAATTAACAGTCTCCTAAATAAACCTTTGTTAAGTCCAGTAAGTTTGTTATGGTACCTCTGTAAATTAAGAATGTATTTAACCAATAAAATTTTTATAATTAAGTCACGATGACATTTTGTCTCTTATGCTTTGGAGAGCTGAGCTTTCCACGTGACACAACAGTTCTGTGGATCTCATTCCACTTAGCTATTTCACCCAGCAGCAAAGAAACAGCCCAGCCCCAGACCACAAACACAGTAATGTCACATCCCTTTACTAGTCCAAACCAGATGACTAAGTTTATTTAAGCCTTCAGACTCGGTTATGATTCACAGTTACCACCTGCAGAATCTATCACATCTGCTACCTGCTGTCACCGTGGGGTATCACACACAGTGTGACCCTCACTGTGACATGACATGCAACGAAGACATGGGCTGATCAGCAATTCTGCACATCAATTAGGTGTGCTCTGCTGGTTGCTGCTGTTCGTACACCATGACTTTTCAGCTGATATTCATTGGGAGGATACAGAGGATGCACAAAGTTTTCCTTCCTGCTTACTTTTCCCCCATCTGAAATACATTACAAAGCATACCTTCCCCAGAGCCCCTACACGGCACTGCTGCAGTCCACTGTCCCAAATAAATAAATATAAAAGCCTGAAAATAGCAACATCTTGTTCACTCCCCAGATCCTCTTGGACTAGCCTTTTGGCAACATAGAATCCTCAGACATGCAAGTGACTGGGTAAAAGTTTTCAGAGATGAGCTCAAAAACAGCACCTCAGGATTTCTAACTCTCCCAGCCTATTGAGTGTGGGCCAGCTGCAACCCCTTAAGATTTGTTTGATGGAAGCACTGCCAAGCATAGAAAACAGCCAACATGTGGCTGCTAGCAGACAGCTCTGACAGACCTTCCGCTAATGCAGGGCTTGAACAGATGCACACACACATTTATGAATGTACATGGCTGCGTTAAAACTTGTCGTGGTAGGTCCAAATATTTCAAAGTTCACCACACTTGCCCTAAATCATGGCTGCTTGTTCTATCTGGTGAAAAGTTCTCTCTGTTAAGAGAAGTGAAGGGGCATTTGTAGCAACTTACGGCTTCAAAAAGTGTCTGGGACTTGTGGAGGCAAACGACACCCACCTCAACAGCAGAGATGGAAAGAGCAAAGCAGAAAATTAAAAGCAGCACAATTCCTTTCTCCTTTTTCAGGATGGTGAGTGCTGAGCACTCACTACACTTCCACTACATAAGCTGGAAAAAGCAGAACGTGTCATCCTCCATACTAAAAATGTGACTTGGAATCACATGAAATCACATCACCTGCAGTCTTCTAACTTTGAAAATACGATTCTCATTTTGCACCTTATTTGGTCTAGGCCAGAAATATCAACTAGAAAACAGTGAAAATCCCTGACATGGAACAGTACAGGTCTCAGGGGTAGCAGGGCCCCTCTCCTTTTCCCTGAGTAGCTTTGTTGGAACATTAACATTTCACGATTTTCCTCTATTTCTTGTCCTAAGCTATGCAATGTGTAAGACTCTTTGTTAGGAACTGCAGTGGTAAGACGTAATAGATGTGAATTGAAAGAGGGGAAATTTAAGTTAGATGTTAGGAAGAAATTCTTTCCTAAGGGCAGTGAGGCACTGGCACAGGTTGCCCAGGAAGCTGTGGATGCCCCAACCCTGGCAGTGTACAAAGCCAGGCTGGATAAAGCCTTGAGCAACCTGCTCTAGGGGAAGGTGTCCCTGTCCAGGGCAGGGGGCTGGGGACTAGTTGATCTCTGAAATTCAGACCAAGCCCTCAGCATTCTGTGATTCTGTGTAACAGCTGCCTGCAAGAGTCACCACTCAGTGACCTCCCCATTTTTTCTCAGATTTTAAATCACTAATGTACCAACATTTTAACAGGACCACGTTTAATTTGTCATCCTATTCTAACCAAAGCACGTTCATAGCACAGCAAGCTCATTTTAGCCAGAAAAACACACTTCCATTTTGAAGCCAGCACAAGCTGAAACAATAGACAAAAATACTGTCATCAATGCAAAACAGTC